CCCCAAAACCCCAAACCCCTAGATATTCAAGAAAATATAATATCAAGGAATTTAGAATATAATTAATTTTCTTTCAATTAATTCAAAAGCAGATTTTTTCTTGAATTGTATTTTACTTTAAAGTTTATTTTTAAATCATCATAGCACCAATTTATTCGTTAGCTATTACTTTTTATCAATAGCCAATTTATCTCTCACATCTGCTTCATTTTTTTCTTACATAGCTCTTTAACCTGATTCTTCTGCTTGCTTATTCCAATCAGTGTGGATATGGATTAAGTATAGATAATAGCAATTGATAATTATCTATGACACTAACATCCCTGTCCATATGGCAAAGAGACCCATCTATCTCTTAAAAAGCAAATAGCACTAAAGTGGAATTCCTAAAGTGTAAAAAACTAGTATAATTCCAACTAAAGCCCTCTTCATAATACCGAGACCCCTGATTACTCCACTTAGGCAACTCATAGTGCAATCGAAGAAAGCAGCAAAAGCTAAAAGATTGGTTGTGTTCTGAATTAAAATCTAAACATCCAAGTCATCAGTAAAGATTTAGCAGATATACTTGCCAAAAAAGAATATTATAAACCATTAAATGAACGCGACGAAAAGTCCAAAGTATGTTAAAACTCTTAGATATGCCTTAGCTTTAGGAATTTCATTTGAGCCAATAAATTTGCCAATAAGAGCAGATGCGGCATTGTTATTTCCTGTTATGATCATGAATGCTAGCATAAGGATACTATGAAGAATAGATTAGGCTGCAGCCATATCGTTTGAGAGAGTGCTTACCATTAAAGTTTGTGCTGCAAAAGTCCATGCTTCAATTGCCCAAAGAAACATTGCTGGCAATGCCTTTTTAGTATAATTCCATAATCCAACAAATGATTAACTATCAGGCCAGAAGAATGCAGCCTTAAGATCTTTTTCAAAGTTGATGAAAATAACAATCAAAATGATGCTTGTCAATTAGGTCAAAGTATTTGAATAAGCAGTCCCCTATAATTTCATTCCAAAATGATTAATAAATAAGTAGCTCCATAAGTAATGAAGACAGCAAGCGATTATCTGAACATACATGGAAATATAAGTTTTTCCAAAAGAATTTACGAATACTCTGAGTAAATCGAATTGTACTGTTAAAAATAAGCCTGGAAGCATGTACCAAATATATAGCTGAGCTTATTCAGAGGTTTTCCTTTAAACCCCAGTTATTTCAAAGAAGTATTTGGCATTCAGCATAATAATTGCTACTGGGATGAATGCGAGGGTAATTACAATTCTACCTCTGTTTAAATAGGTGCCACATAGTTTGAGATTTCCTTGGCCATAGCTTTAAGAGACTAAGGTGCTAAGGATGGTGTTTAATCCACACAATGTAATAATACCAAAAACTGTCAAGTAAACAGTCCCAATTCCTACTCCAGCAATTAGAGTTGGATCACCTAAAAATCCTACGAATATGAGATTCATAGAATCTACTATTCCAAATGACAATTATGCCAATGATGCTGGAATTGCTATCTTGAGAATATCTTTTATCATGTCATAGTTAGATACTCTTTAAATTTTTCGATTATCCATTAGATATTTTGAGGATTCGCTATAATTATAAATCTAGTTAAGTTTTATTAATTATAAAACGTTTTAACATTTTAAAAATGTTTCCGTATTTTCAACAAATATCTCCTTAATGGGGTTTTGGGGTTTTGGGG